TATGACCAGAGGAAAGTTTAGGGCCTTTGAAAGTGTGGCATTGGAACCATTTATTGCCCTTGAACGAGGCAGTATGAATCACCCAGCCAGTCATCCCAACTGAGCCCCGTATAGTGGGAAGAAGGTTAGGAACTAGGATGAAACCCAGTCTGTCTGTAGGAAGGGAAACTGAAGACTCTGAAGAAGAAGAGAGTTTTATAGATTGGTTGTGGTCATCAGGGGATATTGGGATCACACACCCCATTATGGGTAGTGAGGTGGAATTAGAACAGCCTGGGCCTGACATTTTGAAACCCATGCCTAGAGCTTGCGAATGTGAGAGGACTCCTCAAAGATTTGAGGTAGGGGATCAGCCTGGAGGATTATTGGGGCAGGAGGGGTCATTGACCCCAGAGATCACAGAGTTAGGGGAGCTGTTAGAGATGGACTGGGTCACTTCACATGGCCCGCGATCACCAGCATTAGAGGAGGAGCCGCCAGTCCAGGTACTTCCAGGGGTGGGGAGTTACGAGGGGACAGTGCCTGCGATATTGCCGAGCCTAAAATGCAGAGACCAAGGTGGGTGATACACTTGGTGAAGAGATTAACATGCGATGCCCCGGGCCATAACATAGAGAGAGAGTGATGCTTACTGTGTAATGAAGGTTGATTCGCTCCCAGATAATATAGATGCTTAGCAGAAAGTTTGCTATTCTTTGGGGGACCAAAGAAACTGCTTAGGTGGGGGGGAGTGTGTAGTGGGGCTGGCTGAAAGGCTTTGCGGAAGCCTACCCAAGGAGAGGGAAGCTTGGACAGCTGCTGCCGGGTTTGGGCACGGCGGGCGTGGATCGGGCGGAAGGAAAGAAAAAGGAGGAAAGAAAGGGGGTGGGAGTGGTTGCTGTTGCTGTTGTCAGGGAGAGACCAAGTGAAGCTGAAAGGGATTTGAGGTTTTAACTGATCCCTTTCTCAGAAGGAGAGGGAAGGAGAGAGTGAGAGAGAGTGAGAAGGTGGAATTTTATTCCTTCTTTCGCAGGGGGGGATATCCTGAGTGGAGGCAAGAGAGAGAGTGAGGAGAGAGAAAGTTTCTGGAGATGCTAAATTCAGTTTTTAACAATAAAGGAAAGGGAGAGGGGTTTTGACATCAACGAGACCTGAGACTGCGAGCGATGACAGAAGAGAAGGAGAAGCTGGTCGCTATTGCTTTGGAGACCAGCGGCCATCCAAACTTTGATTAGTGTTACTTGTGCAAGTTATAGACATTGTAGGGAGTCGCCCTCGCGGGACGAGCTGTTACTGCAGAGCGCTGACTACCTTCGTTTGTGTTTCCATTGCTGCCTGGAGCTGGGGTTTTCCCCACCCCCTTGTTTCCAAATGGTCACTGTAAAATCATTGACTATTGCTGCTACGACTGCCTGGGGCTGTTAAACAATGCCACGCATTGACTATCAGGGCTAGGGGCTGGTCATCTTTGTTCCTGAAAGCCCCCTCCCTTGACGACGAGAATCTGCCACCTCCTCACTTCGCGTGAGCTCCCGCTGGAAAAGACACTTTATTAACAACTTGAGAGGGTAGCTGCAGAGTGCAACGGAGGGGAACGGGGCTGGGAGGGCCTGGGCTTTGGCGGCCTCTGAGTGGGTAACGCTATACACATAAAAAGATTAAATTTAATTAGATGAGCAATTGGAATGAGCTTCTCTGCCCCTAAGGCCTAATGGCCGTTAAGCTGGCTGCAGTTAAATTTCCCTGGATTTTTTTTTCTTTTAAATAGTAACATGGAGCATCTTTTCCAGGCATAGCAAACTCTTTTCTATAGATACTGTAATTTTCGACTAAACAGGTCTTCACCTTCTGAAACTTGACACCTTTACAGGAAGGTTTGTGAGAATCAAGTGTCAGATTGAATGGGAAGATTGTCACCAGCATGCTGTAAACATAGCTCAGGTGGAAAGCTCTGGTCCAAATTCTTGTACTGTCACTTGAACCTTTTCTTGATAAATTTAAATATTCAGGGCCCACATATGGATCTTAGTTGTTTGTTTCCAGGTCAGTTTGTGGCTGAAAAATCCTAACAGGGATGAAGCCAAAGGAATTAGAGAGAGTTGAAATAAGATAAACAGCATCCTTTAACTGTAATACTCCAGAATGAAATATAGTTACGTGCTTGTTATCCTTCCACTCACAGCAGCAGCATGATCCTTTTGTCATTTCAGTTACAACAAAATCAGGGTTGTTAATGTTTTAAAAAATTAATTATTTTTCTCTCCATAATTTATCTTTGATGAGGATGGTATATTCTTAGTTGTTTGTTTGCGTGTTTGTTTATTCCTGAAGTCATCATAATAATTTATCCAATTGTTTTATTTATAGAAAACTTCCATCTGGGGTATCCAACACTGCTGGAATCCTATACCCAGAAACTGATTTGCTGGGTTCCAGTGGTTTATTGCTATGAAGTCCAGATAGCAAGCAGCTTATAAATGAGAGTAATGGAGATGTTTGGTTGATATTTTCTCAGTGGAAAATGACAATTGAATACATCCTTAACAGATAATTTTCTCTCTATGTAGGGACAGATCTGGTTATTTTTTCTATTTCATTAGCACCATTTTCTACTTTAACATCTCTAAGAAAAAAGTCTTGCAGAGGTTTTCTATTTAAAGGTTTTCCTGTCCAAAGCCAACTAAAAATTAAGGAGAACAGGGATCGTGAAGATCCCCATCAACAGTATCTTAATAGCAGAATGAGCAAAAGGTATACAGATCACCTGGTCTTTCTGCGATTAATTTTAAATTTAGAAAAATAAACTACTTTATGGAAATGTACCTCCTCTTTTCTGATTTATTTTTTTTACTGCGTTTATTTCCTTTTTCTGATGTGTTAAGAGGCTGTGTTAAGAGGTCTGAAGCCAGCCTTTTGTTGGAGTATAAGAAAACCATGAACAAAATTTGTAACTACAAGCAGACGGAGGTGAAGAAAACATACTAAATTCAACACATAATAAATGTTTCTATCATGGGAATCTGTGGATATCTTTTGCCTCGTGGACGATTGCGTGTAAAGACAATGAGGGGCCTTTTTGTATAGACCCCAAAAAGACCATTTGATTTCAAGCGTTATTGGCAGGTGAAATGGATTCAGTTGTATACACTCCTATCCATCTTTTTGCCTTTTGAATCTGGATCACTACAGGCTCCCAATAAATATAATAGGTGACAAACACAACTATACTTTCCACTTTCCATCTTTCATTCTTGTCCATTCTTGTTCTTTGTAAAGTGGAGGACACTTAACTATTGCCTTTTGAATCTGGATCACTACAGGCTCCCAATAAATATGATAGGTGACAAACACAACTATACTTTCCACTTTCCATCTTTCATTCTTGTCCATTCTTGTTCTTTGGAAAGTGGAGGACACTTAACTATTGTTTCTCTTATTGCAAAAATATAGTGGAAAGTGACCTTCCTAATTGGTCTTGTCCATAAGTTGGTTTGTGAAAATACTGTGCTAATACTTTTACATGCGCTGCAATATTAAAAGATAAATAGATAGGCTACTGAGCTATTCGGGGAACATTTGTAGACCATCTAGTGCTCTCCAAATATGTTGAGATGTTAATTGGGAATTCTGGAGACTATCGCTCCAGAGCTCTAGAGAGCACAAGGGTGGAAAAGCTGATTTTGATCTACTGTAGGAAGAAATGAATGCATACCAATAAAAACTGTAGAAACGTATCTTCCCAGGCGAACACAAACAATGATTTGTCCTAAATAGAATGCTAAATTGACACCAGGATGCATACTATCACTTTAAACTCTTCTTTATAAATCTGCACCAGAGCTCAGAGAGACTTACTTCTTGTTTCCTGATGGTTAATGTACCTGAAAACACCATAGAGGACATACAGTACATGGTGAAAAGAATGAAGACCCCTTCTCATTCCGAAGAAATCATGTAAAACCTTGTATGTGAGGGAATGACACATATGTTACACATAATGTAACATCCATACATTTCTGTCTGAGAACTTAAGGGAAAGTTAACTGCATCTTCCATTCTTATAGATCATAAGTGAAATAGGAAATTTGATGACAATATTTTCTCTCCTCTAGATGTCACTGCTCATCAAGAAATAACATTCAATGTGAGTCATAGGAAGCAAAATATTTCTGGTACAAGCTAATTCAGGGGAAACAATGATAATCTTAGCATCAGTTTCTCTCTGATATGGTTTAATAACTCTGCCTTACTTTGCATTGCTACAGCATAAATCTTAAGGGGATGTATTTGAACTCTCCAAGCTAAGCATTACTGGACAATAGACCTTACAATATTCACTGATTTAGATATGAATGTTTTCTGTCCTTGACATTACATATTCAGACCAGGGCCTTTTAGTGAAACAATGGAAACAATTCCCACAACACACAAACCTTTATATAGTGTATTTACTATTTACACTACTTGTATACTCCTACTCACTTAAGGTACTATAAATATTTCAAGGCAATAAAACAATCTCAGCCATTCTTTAAGAAATACTCATCGAATCGGTATCCATAACACAGGCAACTTTCTTTGGCTTTTGTCACCTAGGAAGCATATACACCACCTTTGTGGGCAAACTTCTCCTTACCAGAAGCATGTGGTTGGTGCGACTAGCTTTCTGAGACTATCCTTACCATCTCTAAATTGCTTTGGCCTTCTCTGTATTGAAAGGCAGTCTTGGAAATAAAATAAAAAACCAAGATATAGCCAGTACCTTTTTTATTTTCTAAAACCACCTACAGAAATTGGAGGCATTCTTAGAAAAAAAATGATACTTAAGGTTAACACTTTGATTCAGCAACATGCCAAATCCATATTCTTTACTAAAAGTAATCCTAAAAATAATAAAAGTTACAGGGGACACAGAGATTTATCAGGAAGATGGATGGTATTTGCAGACCCATAGGTATGGCAAGTTGCTTTCCCTGCCTTACAGAGAGAGAATAATAAACCCTAACAGGCTTTCATCCTACCTTTCTTGTAGCCCCACTGGTTTCATTTTGAAAGGTGATGGATTGGCAGAAAGTGGAGGCTTGATCTCAGTCGTACATTGTCCATGGGGATCTACTACAACATTTAGTACTTTATGGGTCTGTTCAGGTTGGACCATTCTGTTTGCTGTCTTATATTCAGATGGAGTTCTTTGCAGAGGGACAGAAGAAAGGTGTATTTCCTGTTTTTTGTTCTTATCCTGTCTCACAGAAAATTGTATTTTCTCTTTCACTCGGTATAAAACCTATTCATAACAGAGAAAATAGCTGTTTTTATCTTAAATTCTGAAAAAAGCACATATTGGGTTATTAGTGAACTGGATAGAAGATTAGATACTAATACGATAAATAACCAATAGGCATGGAGAGCATCAGCAATAATAAAAAAACATTTATCGAATGGATTCCTTAAATATTTCATTAGATAGTTTGGTATGTATTATCTGCAACTTGGGTTTCTAGCATAAAATTTCACAATAGGATTTATTGGGTTGCTTTTGTCAGGAGGACAACAAAATTGTACTGGGAAATAATTGAATAAGCAACTATTGCAAATAGATTAATGTTAGGCTACATTGTATCAATCCCTTTTTCAAAATATACTGTTGGCAAAGGAAGTAATAAATGTTGAAGTGAAATTGAAAGAAAACAGAGCTCTGGCTATAAAAGGAAATCAATAAGTAGAGGTCGTTTCCTATAATAATAATTTAAAAAGAACAAAACAAATAAGATCAATTCAATAATGCAAAGTAAGCACAATGTGCTTCTTTAAATAAAAGGCTAAAAGAAAAAAACCTGATTACCTAGAGAAATATAATAGTTAAGAAATTAGGCATGGATGAGGAAGAATCCAGGTTCAAGCTCCCAACTGAGAGAAAGTGACAGGTACAACCTAATTCACTTTTTGGGTTGCTCTTTATAAACAGAGCAATTGTTTACTTCTAATTGTCTGAATTATCAAACTATGTTAATAACAATAAATAGGAACATAATAACAATTGAATAGGCACAAAATAGCAACCAGCGGTAATAATCTACACCCCATCTATGGGACAGAAAATTATTATATAAGGGTAAGTCAACATGCCACAGCTAAGCATGAATGAACAGAAAGCAATACATTAACCATTAAAGAGATAGAAAAGAAAGAAGCTGCTAATTCAAATGAGAAAAAGTGTCATTCACAGGTGGACACTGCAGTAGTGTTTGAAAATTTAAAAAGGAGATCCATCACTACCTAAGCCCAGAAAAACAGATGGAAACATAAGATGACAAGCCTGGAATACTACGGCTGACAAAAACAAAACCATGTGGAATCTAATAAAAATTGTGTAAATAAACAACTAATAGGGAAACAATTATTTGGTTTGATATATTAGGATTTACCAGTCAGAGCATAACTGTTAGAAACCATCTTATCAGTCAGCATATAAACAACAGGAAATTGCACTAGTCATAATTGTCATTATTCTATACATATTTATAATGTCTTTCACACTATTTTTCCCCCTGAAAGTATGCATAGATACCCCAAGAAGGACAGCATGGGAGATGGGACAATTGATAAAAAATGCATCATTACATTCTAATGCAAAAGCCATGACTTATATGCTTGTATGTGACATAGGAAAGCAAGTGCCAAAGAGCAAGGTTGGTGTCTTGTCTTTTTTCATATTGCAATTAGCAGCAAGTGCCTAAACAAATGTCGTAGCACTTTGTGTTTTTAAAAATTAACCAGTTAAGGACCAAATAAACTTATCAGGACATGCTGAGCTAAGTGTGAAAATGGATTCTGCATATGATTTTTTTTTCTCCTCTTCCAATCCAGCTGTTGTGGTTCACCAAAAATCAATTTGTTGTTCAATAGGAGAATGGAAAATCTGGATTCAGTCCATGCTTTACTTTGCCTCTCCTCCAATTACTATTTTTTTTAAAAAGGCACCATGTATTTACAATGCCAATTATAAGCATGTGTTTGGCTGAGGGCCAATAAATGAACTCACCCTTTTAAAAAATGTGGGAAGCACCCCTTTGAAGTCATCTGAATGAAAACATTACTTGGTCTATGAATGATTAAGATTCACTTTATGCCTCATTTTGCATTAATTTTGTTTGTGATTAAAAGACTGGACTGTTTTTAGCAAATAATTTCAGCACCAATAAAGCTTGTTTTGCTTTTCAGAAAGGCAAAAACAGTGACAATGGAAACTAACAGACTTACCATTAGACATGTCACAATAACAACAAAGATGCTGAGAAAGATTATGACAGCATAAAATCCTTCTTTACTCCAGAGTTTATCCGACTCATGCTTGCCTTGCAAAACATTTTTCTTTGACTTATAAAAACATAAAAGAAAAAAAGTAATTATATGGTTCTGGGCATACATTTGAGAATCATTGTCAATATAATATAAAGCTTTATCTTCCTTCAATAATATAAAATGCTTCAATGATTCAATACATTTCTATTATTTATTTTTTGCATCAGTGATTATAAGATGACCCTACCAGATAGATATGCTATAGTTGTGTTACATTTTATAACATATCTAATTCCCTGTGACACTGTATGGAAGGTGAAAATGGGACTTTGGAGAAGGAAAATAGCTCAACAGCTTTTGAACTTTGGTGTGGGGAAAAAACTCCTAAAACTATCATGGACAACTAAGAAAATGAACAAATGGATTATTGAACAAATAAATCCAAAGTTCTAATTTGAGGCACAAATGACCGGGATAAAATTAGTCTGCTTTGGATACATTATGCAAAGATCCATCTCTCTGGATAAGGCTGTAATGCTGGGAAAGGTGGAAGGGAGAAATAAGAGGATGGACTGCAATTGGATTGACTGAATTACTGTTGAATGGATTTAGTTACTGTGGCAACATTGGAAGAACTATGTGGTCACTAGGAGTTGAAAATGACTTGAGATAAGGCAAAGAGATGAAATAATAGGACAAAGAAATAAATAAGTAAAAAATAGATGAATTTTTATGTTTATCTGTTTTATCCATGAAATAAAGAATTCATTGCATTTGCAATTTATTAAAATCAATAACTCTTAACCTTCATATAACTTAAAACAGGATAGATTTAGTTTAGCTGAAAGGACCAACCAGGCTCCTTTTTTTAAAAAAAAAAGTACCATCAGAGTCTACATAAATTGATATTAGGTTCTCATATGAATGAACATAGTTTATGCTTTCCTGAATCAAACTGCAATCCTATATATATGAAATTAAACCCTGTTGAATTCCATGACTCTTGCCACTGGAACTGTAAATGTTTGTTGTCACTTTAAAACTACACTTCTTTTTGCACACACACAAACACATACTATTATCAAACTAAACTAGAACAACATTATAAAGCAGTAGTGGACTGCTTTACTTTCAGTCACTCTCCCTCAATTTAACTTCACCATAGCTTACTATACAAAATAAAGAAAAATCCCATATGTGCTTTCTTGAACTTTTTGAGGAAAGGAACTCTATTAATCAGCCCTCAGGATACTGCCCTGATACCAGATGACCCTCACTCAGTTGATTTCTAACCATGGAATAAAAACAAAGCTCCAATATGCTGTGCATTAGTCATATTTAAAGGGTAACAACCTTTAATGTACTGTTTTAGTTAGCACCTTGGTTCTCTCAGATACATTAGATACACAATGAATTTAGGAATTTATAATCTAGAAAATACTAGAAAGGTATTTATTTACTGTTTATCATATGAGATTGCAACATAATAACAGGTCTTAAAGGGAGTACCTATGGATAACATATTAGCACTTTATACTAATGATACTTACCTCTGGGGTTATCTCTGTAATTCCAAACTGGGTTAATCCTTGGCGTAGGACGTTGATATTAAGGGATCGTAGCACTTCTTTGGATGGGATAGTATCAGAAACTCCTTTACTACTGACTGGAGATATAAAGAGTTCAATACAGTTCCGCTTGCCCTAGCAATAATACATAAAATAAGAGAGGAATAGCTCAAAAAAACTTTGTAGGAATAAACATATGAGTTAATGAAGTCCAAATTCTTGAGATGAATTAGAATTATTAGCTATCTAGAAATTCAAATTGATATTTTGAATATCCCAAACTGCATTTCAAATACATGGCTTTCCTTTCTACTTATGCTATATTTCAAGGTTGGTTAATTAGTGATAATATCACTGTTGCAGAAAGCCTTTGGGAAGGGATAGAACTTGGGTGGACAACCTATTTTCTCAGCCTAATTGCAATACCCCTTAACTGGCAAGTAAGAGTGATCTGGCTCTTTTTTTGGCAGACAGGTGAGGAAGAGTAGGGGATATCATAAAGAGAAAGAGAAAGAAAGGGATTGCTAGAAAATTTTAAAAAGTAATGTGCCAGCAGAGAAAATTCATCTGTTTTTGACATTGTTATCAGTTATTTTTACTTCAGTTGTTATTTCCCAGCAGATTTGTACTATAGGAATAAGCCCTTAGAAAGAAAGAAAAAAAGTCCACTTCTAGTATTGGACTCAATTCATGGCCTCGTCAGGCAAGGAAGAATTCATGCCCATAGAAATGACTAACCATCACATTATTAAATTCAGTAGATCAATTATCTAGCTTCATATAATACTGGGTGGCTGCTTTTTCTATTCAGATTATAGGTAGCCAATAGCAGTCACAATAAAGCTTATCCTAGAAGGCCTGCTGTGATTTGTAGCATTCAGAACATGAATGAAACTTGTTGCCATAAGCAATGGCAAGCACATACAAATAAAATGAAGATAGTTGGCATATGTATATGTATAATATATTGTTACAGAAATGGAGATAGGGATATATATGTCTGTCTATTTATCTAGCTGCCTAGCTACAGTATCTAGCTGTCTATCATTAATATGGTGTACTGGTTATGAAGCTACACTAGAAGTGGGGAGAACCAGAACAGAAGCTAAATGGGCAACTTTGCGCCAGTCAGTATCTCTCCCTTAAACTGAAAAGTTGTATATCCATTGAACTGCACTGAATCAATGTGGTAGATTATAGACTATCATAACCTTCAGGGAAAAGGCTGTCATTCTGCAATGGATTTGGGCTGATACTACACATGGATGAGACATCCCAGAGAATCTTCTTGTCCAGTATTGTTACTTTTGAAGCTGGCAGGTATATAAAACCATTTATTTTTTCAGGCTGGTTGGTTTAATTTGCAGGAGGTGAAACTATGCAATAGTAAGCATGAAACTAAGCCACTTACAATCAGTCGGTTGATATGCACTTGCTGCGGCAAGAGTCCTAAAGCAGCAGCCACTCCTTGGCGGAAAATCCGAAGCAATGTGATATTCAGCTTGTTTACATCCATTTGCAGAGTCTGCAAAACAAACCCAAACAGTGCTAATCTTGCAAGGCACACACAGTTCCCTGCTAATGAGTGACCTCCGTGAATTGTGCAAATAGTTTTTCCCAGGATGGCAATGTGTGAAGTCAATTTGCATTTCAAACAGAGAACAAGAGTTGGGGGAGTGAGGTCAGGGGTGCAGGATTCCAGACTATTAATGGTTGTTAGTTTAAAGAATGTTAACATTTCCTCTTAAGTTCACCATAAGGTCAAAGAAATTACTTTGGCTACACTCCTGGAGCTTTTATAGGAGCTAAAATGCCAGATCACAAGGTCTTGTAATAGAACTAAGTGAAAGAGTACCACCCAGAAAAATTACCTCTGATTGTTATCATTCTTCATAGAAATAAAACAATGTAGTGGATAGATTGGAGCAGCTACTACTCTTAGCTGCTTTCAAAAAGCTAAGCATGATCGGACATGATTAGTGCTTGCATAGGTAACCACCAGGAAATCTCAGAACTGTAAACTAGACTGGGAAGCAAAAAGCAAACAAGTGTAGTCACCAGGATGAAGGAAGACTTTACCTTTATGTTATTGTTTCTAGAGATGAGAAATATGATGTAAAAAATTTTTCCACCAAATTTGTGGGCAAATAAGTTGGGGAACAGTTCTTCCAGGGAAAGGAAATATCTTCAACAATTTCTGCCTTTGTATCCTTTGTGAGTATCCTGAGAACTGGTACTAAAAAGCCCATGGGAGGATATCCCTCATGACTGAAACATGGGAGGCCATTGGAATTTGATACACTCACACATTTCTCTTAGACACTTTGAAATTTAAGGGGGAAAATGCCAGCTTGGCATTAATCAATGCTTCCTGCAGCGTGGAAATTAAACAACTGCAGATCCCAACTTGTTTGGGGTATCACATGAGCCTGAACTGAAAACTGGTATTCCAACCTGACAAATGAAACTCTGCCGAGTCCCCACATGACATTGATTAAGCTCATTAATCAATAGTTGAAATTAGGAGTTTTATCAGGGATTAGCCAGCAAGTGGGGAAAAGTCCTCTACCTTTTTAACCTGATTAGGGTTCCTGGACAAAAAGGGAGTGCCATCAGTGTTTATTGTAGGCATTGCTTCTGATTTTTCTTTGCAAGGGTGCAGTAGGCAGCTGAGCTATTACAAAGTTTGATTATCCTAGGGATATATCAATTAAAAAGTAACTAGTAAATGTAAGTAGTGTTGATTTATTCCCTTAGCCCCAATGAATTCGTGGAGGTGTGTGTGAGTTAATAAAATTATGTTATCATTTTAGCAGGTCAATGTACTCAATGTATGAGAAGCTGTGGCCTAATTAATTCTGTAGAAGCAACAGATGAAGAACATTTTATTAGAGGAGAGAGATTTTACTTCACTGAATGACTTTTTGAATCAATATATGAACCCAAATTTAGAAATAGAAACAATATCATAAGTTCTATCTTAAACAAGTCTTCCAATTGGTGCCATCCTAGAATTTTCACCTGGCTGAAAATTCACCAGTTGGAAGGCTTGTTTAAGATAGAAATTGTGAAGTCATTTCTATTTCACTTTGTGAAATATATTTCAGCCAGGTGAAAATTCTGGTTAGGTCAGCTACAAATCACTTGGGCCATGTGATTTGACCAACTTTTAACACCAAAGCATCCCTGCCTAATGAAGCTGATCTCACTGTTCATCTTGGACTGTGGTTAGGTGCCACAAGGGAATTTACATGATGAGAAAGCTTCTGTGAATAGGATTCATTCCACAAGCTTTTAAGATCAATCTCTTTACATACCACTTATATCTTGGGCAATAATCTTCCATGGAACAATAGAAAGAGATTAATTGGTTAGAAATTCCTCAAAACATTGCTGGCACCTTTAATTTAACAAAGGAAGCATTGTATCTTCTGAAGCCAGGCAACATTAATTAGTCATATTATGCCTTGTTGATCTGTACTGTTTATCATTTTTGGCACCTGCTCCTTGAGGCGAGTTCATGTTTGAATATACTGTACATGCTGGCAGCCGTGACTTAGTAACCCTAAAGGAGAAGAAGACTACTACTCCAGGGAACACAGCTTCCCAAAGCAATTTATTAATCTAGTTACTGCAACTGTTAGCGATAGTTTGCAGGTTTCAGGACTATAGATATGATGAATTATATTATTAGGTTATGTCTTAAAATTTGGCTAATTTATACATGTACAATAAAAATAAAAAGACTAACACCTAGTAATATTTAAACACCTAACAGATTCATTGGGGCAGAATAAACTCTTCATAAACAGGGAGAAAATACTTTTTAAACCATTAGTTGGAAAGCAGTGTTTGGTGTAACATGTGCATTTATATGTGCACTTTCTCTGAGTTGATAATGTATTTGAATATAACTTCAGCGTAAAAGGCTGAAGACTGCTTAAAAGTAAAATCTGAGAGATATTTGAAAGGGAGCTTACAACATTCAAATTTGATTTCTTCAGATTAGCAAGCAAATATTGCAAATTTCTGTTCATGACCTATGGTAAGAAAGCTGCATCAAATGGCAGCAACAAGAACTGGATGATTCTGTGGGGCTTTGGTGTCCACAGGCTCTTATGCTTTTCAAAGAATAATGAAAACAGTATAATGATTTCATGCTGCAAACTCTGATCCTTCTGGACATAGGTATGACATTACAACACGAATAAAAAAAAGAGAAGACATTTGCATTGTGACACCATGACACTGCTACTGGTAGCATTAATTTGACTCTTTTGTCCTCCCCATGAAGACTTCCATTGTAAGTCATGAACTTATCTCTTACCAACAGCATACTATCTAATATAGACAAAAAATTATACTGACTATTAAAAATAAATCCTGAATCCTCTGGGAAAAGAATTTATTATCAGGCCAGCTCAAAGATTATTACACATAACAGGCTTTGACACTCTTTGGGTCAGATATGACGTGACCAAGAATGATGAGTGTTAGGGATAGGAGTAGGGTGTTAAGACCGTTGTCACAGTGACTGCACACTGGCTTGAGCTTTTCTTAGAGATGTCCCTGCCACCTCAGATCTCAGTAACGAACATATGAAACTGTTATTTGATATTTTTATTCCAATATACATTACTTACACTGCATTACATTTGCCTTTGAAATCTATTGACCTAGTTCGAAGAGTAATTTTTGGACCTGTTTGCAATTATTATGATTGTTATTGTTATTTAATCTTGCACACAGCATTCATTTGAGATCAACAATGAACTTGACTGTTTCTCCTAGATCCAGCCCATTCATTAAAAACAAATTTAAAAGCATCGATTTCCAAGAAAGATCTTCAGGAAACTTGAACAATTATCTAATTTATAGTTTCGTCCTTTCTATTCCTTGGATTCAGTTTTGATATGATATATATTATTTTACCGAATGTAGATTTTTATAGAATCCAGAATTCTACACAGTACCAGATTAAATATGTGTTCTAATTTTGGCCTGAAACTATATTTCAGTCAATAAATTTGTAAATGTTGAAGTAGATTTTATTTAGTCTCCAATATTTTCTTTATGTACTATTTTAATTTAAAATTGCCTGCAATTATGGAACAAAAACTGTTTTACCAAGAAAGCATTTTAATTTTAATTTTAAAACATTTTTAAGCCAACTATAAGATTTAATCATTTTATTTATCTACAAAACAATATAACTGTTCTTTCCAGGAATATCTTTTTTTTTCTAGACAGGAAAAGCTGCATGACATAAAAGGTAAAATATCACTGTATCTAGATATAGTTAGCATGCTGCCCTAAAGTTTTTCATTCCTATTATCTTTGGATTGCTCTTCTAGCAGTTTCTATTATATAGTTAGCTCCATAAATTATTGTGCATATTTTAAGTTAGTTGCCTCCTCATGTTGCAACTATTGTAGAAGCAGACGCTTCATTGTTTGCCTAGACTTTTATTGTAGACTTTCATAGCAGACTTTCATTGTTGTTTATATTTTAAAATTAGGATCTAATGCCAGAAGGTGGAATGACATAATTGGATAAGAAGTGCTGCTATTACTGCTTATACTATTATATTTTGTGTGTGTTGTGTTTTATATTATGTTGTGATGGCTGCTTAGTAGGTTTTTAGTAAGTTAGCTACAGTCTTGGAAAGGCTCGAACTATGTTTCATGATTGCACATCTGGCAGATTCATAGATTATTATGCCTGAGCTGAAAGTATAATGAAAATGATCATTCTGAAGTTTTTGGGGGTGGGGGAAGATCACTCAATAATTCGATGGGGAAAAAGAGTCTCCATAGTTTTTGGGTATGGTATGGATATAGTTCAGTTGTTCCAAAGAACAACAATAAGACCTCATATGTTATCCTTTCCATCCTTCCCATAAATATTAGAACTTCATTAGTTATATGAACCTATTCTTATATTTAATATTTTTTTCTAAAGGAAGAAGAGGTGGAAGGAAGGAAACAAGTGCTTAGTTACACAGTTCCCTTTACTGGTAAGTCAACCTATTTTTGGCCCTTCGTGACATTGGATGTCTTCTTTCCCTTTTGGCCTTTGTGGAAACCAAGTTCTGTTAGATGTGAATAGGAATATTTTTTTCAGACTTTTTCCTAAAAAAAAAAAAAAGGATTGTTGTAGGATTGATCTGTTTTCCAAGCATTGTATTAGGGATTAGAACTATTCCTTAAAAGTTTTATTTTTATCCTAGATGATTGGCCTAAAGTTACAGCAAACTGGGCTCTCCATCTTCTTCAATGTAATAACTATACGACACTCATCTCCTATACTTATGAAGTATATATGTTTAGACATAACTTACAAATTGTGTACAAAATATTTTAGAAACAAATTGCACGCAAAATGCAATATTAAAGTATGAGCAATCTAGTTTTTACAGCACATGTTTTTCCCTATCTGAATGAAACTATAAATTCATATTTAGAATACTGTAAATATATTAAAATATTTGATTAGTATGCAAGAGAATACTTAGAAACTAAATGA